TTTTTTTTTTTTTTTTTTTTTTTTTTGTCTTTTTCCGTGTCTGGCAACAGATCGCACCCCTCAGTGTCGCCCCCGTACCGTACCGGGACCGGCAACGGGATCGCAGCCCTTGGTGATGCTCCCGCGCCTCGCTCAGCCAGTGAGCGGGAACCGGTCTGTATGTGGGATCCGAACCCTCGGCGGGAGCAATGCCGCACTTCCCAAGCGGCGCACTATAGCAGTGCGCCACCGGGCCGGCCCACACAGAGTTATTCTAAGGCTCCATGACAGGGTTTTGTCATTGTTGATGTTGTCATTGCTTTTTTTTATAAAAAGGCCAAATTTTCCTTCCAATCCAAACATTTGCCTGTTTCCTTTCCTTAAGCTATACCAGTGTAATACCAGTACCCTGTGGATCTATTCAATATGATTTCTTCCCTCTAATTAATTTTTGGATATTATTTCCAATGTTTGGAAAGCTCTTTATAGCCATTTTGATATTTCCTATTACACCCCCTCCTATTTTTAAAAAATATTTATCTGTCTAAACCTGTGCAGTGTAGTAAAGATTCAAGTTGTTATGATTGAGATGTATTATCATAAGTAGAATTTTAAGTAAACTGGTAACTTTGAGCAATATGTTTTCATTTTGTTACAAGGTAACTGTTAGAGGTATACATTTATTTATCCATTGTACAGATTTGATTATGATTTCTAATGTTTGAAAAATTGCACTTGTTTGTTTTTACTATGTGTGAGGTAAAATATATTTTCTGTTCACAGTATATATGAAAATATGGAGTAATTTAAACAGTAAATAAACATTCTGTGTATGCTTATTTTTGTATTGGCAAAGTATCAATTAAACTATATGTGTTCTTTTTTAAAAAGCTGGATCCATTAGTGATTGGTTCACATTTCTAATTCATTTTTTCAACTTAAATTTGCTTTTTCAGACTTTTAGTATTTACGAGTAGATCACTAAATGATAGTTGAATAAGGAAAATCTAGTTATCAGAGCTTTAGAGGATAATCTGCCTTCTTCCCAGAGAGGTTAAGCATTATGGTTTACTAATAGTTATACTTAAAGATTTTAAAAGTTTAATTATTAATTCTGTACTAGATTTATGTGCTACTGATATATTCCCATTAATTGAGAAGTATTTCTTGAACAGAAATGTGTATTTTTTCCTTTTCTCTCTTCTTCTGCCCTTACTTAATCTTTTGACATTTCCCAGATATACAATTGTAATGATTCATTGCTCTCCCTCCTAGACTGCAGCCTTATAAGTAGAGAATAGTATAGTTATAAATCAAAAACTTCCAAGTACTGTGATCACATTATTCTTGCTCATGTAGCTTGCCATTGAGTAGAGTGCATTTTAATTTAGCTTGTAAGTTTTATTACCTGAAAAAGATTCTTTTCAATGAAACAATTGAAAAAGAAAGATGACCAGTATCTCTGTTTTTTGGAAGCACTTACATCTTCCAACAGGGATGCCCAAGTGAACATATAAGTTTTTCTCTCCTATTTGAACTCAAACCTAAAACTTAACTGGTAAGCCCTGTTTCTTCATCACATGTTCTTATTTAATACACAATGCCGTATTTATACATGTAATTATGTATAATAATGAAAATAATTAAAATATAATGTACTTGTAGTTAAAAAACATTATATTTTATATTTGATTTTCTTAATGAATCTATGGGTTACAGATTATTGTTGAAGTTACCACAGTGATAGCCCCTATGTATGGTAAATGTCTTAATTTTTTTTTCTGCATTGAGTCAGATATTAACCAGTTGCATTACTCAATCTACCATTCTTTAGAATAACATGTTTAACAGAATATTTAGATATGTTAATATTGAGGTTAAACTACAAAGATTCTCTAAAACTCAGATTTTCTGTAATAGAAATCACATTCAGAAATCTACCATCTGGCTCCAAAAGGTTCTTGGCTTGGCTCAGTTCTAACCTGATCCTTCCCTGTTTCCTTTGCCAAACCTTCCCATTTTTGTGGATCGCCAACAAAAGCATTAAATATTCAGACTACATCTAAATCGGTAATGTTTTGCGAGGACATGGAACTTAAGTCCATTATTCTATTCCCTAAGAATGACTTTATACTAAAACCTTAAAAATAGACCACATCCTGGATTTAGTCATTGATATCATAAACTGGATGGGAGCCATGGCTCGTATTACAGACAATTCAGTATTTTGCTTGGTGAAGTGGATGCACCACATGGGAATCTGCTGTATGACAGGAAGTTAGGTAGCATTGTATGTAGAGATTTTTGGAACTGTTGAAAGAGATTGAATTCTTTACATCATTCAAGAGAAAATGACCGTTTTAGCTTAATAGCGAAGACTGAAATAAGGATTGCTAATTTGGTTGGCAATTAAATTCATCTTACCACTTTGAGTATTTCTCTGCAAAGACATTCAAAAATGATTTCATAAATGTATGACTTAATATGTTCATTCTTAGGATAATCGTGATTTGGGGAAACTTATTTGTAAAAGTATATTTTGGCTTACTTTCGTAATACCAAAAATGGTTTCCAAAAAAGGAAGTGGCTAGGCCGGCCCGTGGCTCACTCGGTAGAGTGCAGTGCTGATAACACCAAGGCCACAGGTTCGGATCCTATATAGGGATGGCCGGTTTGCTCACTGGCAAGTGTGGTGTTGACAAAAAAGGAAGTGGCTAGGCCGGCCCGTGGCTCACTCGGTAGAGTGCAGTGCTGATAACACCAAGGCCACAGGTTCGGATCCTATATAGGGATGGCCGGTTTGCTCACTGGCAAGTGTGGTGTTGACAAAAAAGGAAGTGGCCTAAACTACATTCCCAAAATTGTGAGGTTGAAGACAGAATTCCAGAAGAGTTTTTCTCATTTTAAAACTTACAAAAATTTAATGACACTATTTGTTTCACCTTTGCATATTAATAGTGATAGTAGAATGAGGAGACACAAGTTGAAGTTATTTAACTTCCATTCGGTAAGATTTCAGAACCTAAATATGACAATAGTAGAATACTCAAATTCTACATATAAGGAATGTTACTTTAAAATTTTAAAACCTATGTTTTATTCGTGTTCAGAAGTAACAGTCATGAATAATTTTGGGAGAATATGAGACTGAAAAAATCAAATACCCTTTGTTTTTAAAGGATTCAAACGTAAAATTGTCCAGAACATCACAATGAAAAATCTGACATTCTATAGCTTAGTAAGAAAGTTATCAAGATTCTTACTCCAATTTCAAGGTAAAATAAACCAAGAAAGAAAAATGTTATAATTGAATATATTTTCCCTTTATTTTTTAATTTTCAAATTTAAAGTATCTCCATTATACACATTGTCATAGTAATGATAAAGGCTTTTTACCATTATTCAGTAAAAGAAAGTTTTGATACTATATCTGGCAGTTTTATTGGGGGGTGTTTTTGTTTTTTTTAATTATTGATTTTCTTCATTCTATGGTTATTTTCTATCTATCCGCAGTAAGTACTTGATTTTTGATGCTAGCTCTTTTTTATAACTAGACCAGTATTTGTTTTGTTTTGTTTGACAAGTCACAAGGTCAGAGTTCTACTCATAGAAGGAATATACCCTCATTCGTGAGACTAGACTAGGTAGGTTTTTGAAGTTAATTAATATTTGGAGTAGCAAAATGTGTTTTTCTTAGGTAATTCAGGAGAAAATAAAAACAGTTATTTCTGGTATAAAGAGCAAACTAGAACTAAGAACTCACCATTTTCTTTTTTTTGCCTCATTTCTTCTCATCCTCACCTCAGGACACTGTCACTGGGAGAGAAGAAATAATAGAAAAACATTTAGTTGAAGTCTGAGGGCTTCAGCACTGTCAAAGCACGTACATAGACAAAGGACATGAAGCTGGAGCCCTTTCTCGGAGACTACAAAATTTAAAATGGAAACTATAAAGAATTAATACATGGATAAGAATATCCAGGAAAAGATTTAAATAGAGTAATGGGAGGGGTAAGACTGGTACAGTAGGATATTTAGAAACATTATTAAGTTACAGTTATGTCCATGTGGAATAGATGCAAGAATATATAGATTAATGGATAGAAAAGGAAGCATAGAAACAGATTTTACTATAAAATATTTTAGAATAAGTAATGGTTTGCTTTCACATTACTGGGGAAATGTAGAAATATTCTTTAAATAGTCCTGAGACAATTGCTTAATTATGAGGGTAGGAGCAATAAATTCCCATTTTTACTCTATATACCAAAAGAAATGTAAAGTGATTAATGGGCTTAAAGACATATAAAATAAGAAGTAGAAAATGTAGGTGAGTATCTCATCTGTAGGTGAGAAACGAGCCATTC